GCTGGCCGTGGGCTGGTCCTTGGCTGGCCGTGGGCTGGTCCTTGGCTGGCCGTGGGCTGGTCCTTGGCTGGCCGTGGGCTGGTCCTCGGATGGCCCTTGGCTGGTCCGTGGCTGGTTCTTGACTGGTCCTTGGCTGGTCCTTAACTGGCCCTTGGCTGGTCTCTGGCTGGTCCCCAACAATTCCTTTTTAAACATTAATCTTTGAACAAAAATAGTCTTTCTGTCATGATTTGTGGACATCAGGATCTAAACTGAAGCGTCATCTCCTGGTCAGATCGTGTAATTCAGTGAAAGGGTGGAGTCAGAATTAAAAAAAAAATGCACACCCAGGAGAAGACCAGTGGCTGGAAGTTTAGGGGATTTGGCTGGGAGTCACAGAGGAGTGGACTGCCATATGGCTGGCATTTGACTGGGAAGGGCCATTTTGAATGGCAGCTAATGTAGCTGAGTTTCAACTCAGTTTGAAAATACCTTTTTCTAATATTTTAGGGCAATCTGATGTAAGATTTAAATAGTGATTAATTTTCATCAAACAAGAATATTCAAATTTGGAGTTAGGTTGTGTTTTTCTAGAAAAACCCTAAAGAATGTGTTTCTTTCTCTTTCCAGGAAAACTTTTTCCTCTTAGAAATAAAGAATGGTTTCCCGCGCCTAACCTACGACTTTGGCTTCAGCGATGGACCAAAGCTTCTGGACACCAATTTACCGAAATTTCAAATAAATGATGCAAAATATCATGAGGTAGATCAACTTTTTGCTTCTTTTAACTGTTCCTGATCCAGACTTAAGGTTCAAAGTTTAACCGTTTTATTGTTCCAACAGGTGTCAGTGATCTACCATCAGCTAAAGAAAGTTATCCTGCTAGTGGACAAGGCTTTAGTTAAAACTGTGGAGAATCCCAGAACCCCGCTGCCTTTCTCAGAGATCTACATCGGGGGTGCCCCCTCCAGCTTGCTAAAATCCAGGTGAGCTGGTAAAGATAACTGAAACCACGGAAACACCATTCATTAGGCAGTTACACATCTTTAGGTTGGCAAAGGAACACAGATCATTGATGTGTTTCGGCACAGGGCGGAGCTGTCTGCTGTGGTTGGCCTGAAAGGCTGCGTCAAAGGATTCATGTTCCAGAAAAGAGATTTTAACCTGTTGGAAGAGCCTGGAACCATTGGTATTAGCAGCGGTTGCCCAGAGGAGTCTGTTGTAAGCACACAACTCACACACCTACATGAGCACATATATTTTAATTTTATGCAAGTCAGTTTATTTCTATAGCTCCAATAACAACACATAATCACAAGGCACTTTACAGTTCACCAGATCATCCAGTCAGATTGATTTAAAGTTTTCTATCTAAGGAAAACCAGTTGTTTGCATCGCCTCATTGACTGGAAGGTAATCCCTCACACTAAGCATGCTTGTAGCGACAGTGGAGAGGAAAAACTCCCTTTTAACAGGAAAAAACCTCCAGCAGAGCCACATAAGGGGTGTGTTCGACTGTGGATTCAAACAGGTCTAGCCTTCCGCGGCTTTTACTGCCGTACGCTCTGTCTCTTAGCAACTGTGAGAGCTGACACAGAAAAGAAAAGAATGAATACTGATTTTTTATTATTTATTTTCTCTTTTTCTTATTAAGTGAACAAAGACTACACTCATGAAAATACCAGGATCGTGAACAAATAAAAGCACATGTAATGATATAAAAGGGGTAGAAAGTAAATCTCAACAATATATGCATAAAAAATATATCTCCAAATAACAAAAAATACTTAGTTAAGAAAATTGTGCAAAATAGCAATTAAAGAATAAAACTCCTATCAGATTTATAGTTCCCACACTGCAGATACATTAGAATCTGTCCTTAAATTACAGCCAAACCCATTTACACAGTAACAGGTGAAAACCTTTAGAACATTACCGCCATATATCTGACTCTATAACCATTTAAATATCAATTTTCATTAATTTCATAGAAAAATATTCACATACTTTTAACTTACTATATTAAACTGCACTTCCAATATTCACCACTGTTCGGCACCAAGTACGTTTTTCCTCTGATCACGGAGCAGCTGGCTTGCTCGGACTCGCAATGAATCTGGGGATATCCAAGGCTACGTAGGATACAACAGACCCGTCCTTCAAAACGGGCAAAAGAAGGCTGCATTTGTTTATGCTTAACGAAGAGTGTTGCAATCTCAACAGGCCTCTGTGTAATCGGCCGATGAAGCTGGCCCTTGGAGGACGCAGCCCCTGAATTCAAATTCAGCCATTATGAATCCCTGACAGAAAAAGCCATAGATAAACACGTAAACACGCATGGCCCTTCAGACAGATGGAAAAATGTTGTAGTTTATTTTACTATAAATGTCTTTCCATATAGGGGCCTAGCTAATTGTTGTTGCCAAATTTTTAACTTTAGTGGTTAAAATAGACTTAAAGACATGTTGTGTTTTTTCTATGTTGATAACTTTACCACTAGGGAAAAGTTCAGGGCTCAACATACAGGAGGTGATGTCGCTCCTTGGATGGATGGATGGATGGATGGATGGATGGATGGATGGATGGATGGATGGATGGATGGATGGATGGATGGATGGATGGAT